TGCAAGAAAACTTGTCCAAGCAACTGTTCAAGCAACTGTCCAAGCAACTGTCCAAGCACTTATCAAGCACTTGTCCAAGCAACTGTCCAAGCAACTATCCAAGCAACTGTTCAAGCAACTGTCCAAGCACTTATCCGAGCAACTGTCCAAGCAACTGTCCAAGCACTTATCCAAGCAACTGTCCAAGCAACTGTCCAATCAACTGTCCAAGCAACTGTCCAAGTATCTGTCCAAGTAATTGTCCAAGCAACTGTCCAATGTCCAAGCTCTTTTAGAAGCAATTGTCCAAGCAAATGTCCAAGCACTTGTTCAAGCAACTGTCCATGAAACTGTCCAAGCACTTGTCCAAGCAACTGTCCAAGCAACTGTCCAAGCACTTGTTCAAGCAACTGTCCAAGCAACTGTCCAAGCAGCTGTCCAAGCAACTGTCCAAGCACTTGTCAATGCCTTGCTTGCTCAAGCACTTGTCCAAGCACATGTTCAAGACCCGTGACTTCCAAGCAACTCCAGAGCGAGCATTTAGAAGACTTAAAGACTATCACATAGCCATAAAACTGGTGTTTAATCATTACAATTATTGTATCATTTCTATATAATAATTGTAACGATTTAACACCATCACTGGCATTAAATCGGTGCGAATATTTTAACGAAATACGTGAATACTCGTATTACGCTATTTACTAACCTATTATTGAATTTGTGGCGATTAGAGCAAGGTAAACAATATCTGAGGGTATTATTTAGTTACTAAAAACATTTTAAAATTAATTGTCGCAATAGGAATAAATATGTGCAAAACGTGACGATTATGGACGTATGGCAAGTTACTGCTGATATTATAATGATTATTGTTTAATTATTCAATATATGATTTGAACCTTCTAAAACGTTTAGCATGGAAAACATTGTCATGATCTTTCTAACAATTCTCATCATTATTGTTATTTATGGTAGGAGATAGTCAGGCCAAGTCAGGGACAGTGGAAGTCATTTGCAGATATCCATAGGAAGTTACGATAGCAAGTCGTTAACGATTGTTGCTTTACACGAAACATACGAGCAAGTCGTTATACGATAGTCATTTTGACCGAAACTACTATCAAGTCGTTATACGATAGTTACTTTGCACGAAACTATTATCAAGTCGTTATACGATAGTTATTTTGCACGAAACTACGATCAAGTCGTTATACGATAGTCACTTTGCACGAAACTATTATCAAGTCGTTATACGATAGTTATTTTGCACGAAACTACGATCAAGTCGTTAAGCTGACGGGTAACCGCATCTTCAGCGCCATGTTCAGTAACTTTATGCAGGTTCTTTATGAAGTAACGCTGACCGGTAACCGAAACGTCCAAGTCATTTTTCGGAGTAATGCATGATCTTTCCGCCTTTGGGAGACTGAAACATATTTTGAAGTAGAATGAAGCTCACAAGTATGTTAATGAGATTTTACTAGCTTTTATGGCAGTGTGAAGTGGCAATATTATAAGAAATGATAAAAAATTTTCACCGATCATGCATTTTAGATCTTTAATTTCTTTCAAGCCCAAAAAATAAGCGCATCGCATTCGATTCTCACTATTCGAACGTGAACAGTGACCTCACAAAGGTCATTCAAATATTCTTCATTTCAGTCACCTGTGCACAAATAAATTTAAAGATACGCATCAAATTTTGTGAAGAATTTAAAGAAAACATTCTTTACCAATCCTATTGTGACTGGAGCAGATGCAGCCATATGCCGGACTCAACATTTGGCGCATCCTCGGAGTCCTTCAAGCTTCCGGTTGCACATAAAGGAGTCACGCTCTGTTGCGCCGACCGTCTTTCCAGAAGCACCGGTAGATCTGAATGATATTGTTCACGTGCTTCGCTCGTCAAATAATGCCGAATCATGGTTCAAACAGTAGAAGCAAATTGTGACAATAACATCATTATGCGTAATATTCTTATTTATTAAATAATACGGCAAAGGGCGAAACCAATGTCATTGAAAGTCTGACTCGCACAAGTGCAAGGATTCGTTGGAATTATTTTATTCACAGGACTGTGCGCGTTAAATTCTAGATAATTATTCGCCATTCAATTTGTTCGCATCATAGATAAGACCGCATTTTAGAAAAGAAACATCAAAAAATACAAAATTATTGTGCACAACGACTGCTTTTAGTGGTACTTTTTCATCACGACAGTAATTGTGACAGAATCGCGTTGCATCCTTGGTGCAGTTCATTTTCAAAGCGTAAAATAAATTACATGCCCTCAACGATTATAATATGACATTAAACTCTACCGGTATTCGGAAAAATGAAATCTATGAGAAGTGATGGAATGTGAATATCACTATTGAATATTAGGTGAATGAGTATTTACAGCTATGAATCCATCGCGTTTCTACCAAGTATATGCTTCATACAAACCAACGTTTGTGGTGGTAAGAATTCTTGCTGGTTGTATATCTTGTTGCCTTGACGACGGATCAATGCGGATGGCGTGACGCTTTTTTTGTCATGCACTTGTTGATTCTAGTTCATATGATAGCAAACACTGCAAAACGTTTTTCTGAACACGAAAACAGATACAGGTAAAAATTTGGTATGAAATAACCAACCATTTATTTGCGATCTTTGCACAAACCCTTGCCTGTGGCGTGAATCTTATGTGAAGGGCGAAAAACATTTTTACTTCATGAACTGCATACGAATTTGTTATCAGGATTTATCTACTTAAAATTAATGTAATATTTTGCTGGGAATTTTTACTTTTATTTGGCAAGTTAAGAAAATTTTAGTCGATCAAAGTTTGTAGTTATTGAATTAAGCATTGTTTATTAATATAGATATTATAATAATATGAAGAAACGCCTCTCCATTATTTCCACTTATGTTATGAAAGAATGAAAAGTTCATATTCACCGCGTTCATATATTGTTAAGTCGAAACCCAGTGAACAACAGAGGCGAGATATCGTGTTGTGTTATGGCTATTGGCCACAGGCGGTCGATCATGTCTGGTTAATGCATCGCGCTAGCAACGCTCATTGTTCGAATGTATTCAGTTGTTATTGATTGGCTCTAATGTTCTGCATTATAATAATAATATGTATTGATAATACTTTTTCAAAATGACATTAAATTGAACTCAAAATTTACTTTCGGTTTTAAGGGCTATTCAGTTCTCAATTTGACAATTTTCTGGCTTCACTCTTATAACAATGTAAATTTGAGCTAAAAAATTGCCAAGGCAAACAAATCAGTTTTACTCTAAATTTTTATGATGCTCAATTAGTTCTATCGTAATTTTGAGACAAACTTCAATTATAGAAATTATCAAATTTCTAAGCCACATTTGACTTACAATAGTTAAATTTTGCGTTACTTCTCAACGGCATATCTGTCACCGTTAAAGTTATTTGAACAGCCAAATAGCCACGCAAAATTATTTCTAACTTTGTCTGAAATAATTATTTCAAAGTTATCCCTTTCAGTCGCGTTGTGAAATTGTGAAGAGCACGTGCCCCGTATCGGATTGTGGAGTATTTTGCCGCCGGATTTAAGCACAAAAAGACTTTTTTTACTTTGCCACTTTGTACTTCCGGTCAGACATACTGCGTTGAAAACCTGTTGTTAAATCAATATGAACAATTAATACATTTCATCGATAAATAATTGAAGTGAAATGTGAACGGATATTACAATAGCAATCATAACGGCTGAAGTAATTTTCCACCAAAATTGTTAAGGAAATTCACCGATGGTTTATGGGTTCGTTATGGGGCGAATTTTAAAGTGTGCCAAAAATTTTGCTCGATAACTATCAAAAATGTTCTTAAGAATAATTTTTTTGGCACGTTCTCATTGTTCCCGCATGATTATCCATATTTAAATGTTATCACTTGCTAAGTGTATTCATTAAATTATCTCATATGGTTAATATTTACGATGTGATCCGCACAAAAATCGACACTTTAATTGTGCCTTTTTGAGAATAATAGATCAGACTTGAGGGAAAGATCTGTCAATATTATTCGCCTTAAAGCCAGACGGTGCAACGTCCGAGCAGAGCGGCAGTTTTACCGTCTCATCCCTGCTTCTTGTTGCAGTGGAAGCAGCCGGCGTAACCTGCATGTAGGTTTAACGACTGACCAGCCTTGCCGTGAGCAGTCTTGCGTGGCCGAGTACGCGTAGGTTTAGCCTTGTGTACGATGCTGCACGTGGACTCGGCCATGACCTGCGCGTAGGTTTAGCCTTGTGTACGATGCTGCACGTGGACTCGGCCATGACCCGCGCGTAGGTTTAGCCCTGCGTACGATGCTGCACGTGGACTCGGCCATGACCTGCGCGTAGGTTTAGCCTTGCGTACGAATATAATATAATATAATATAATATAATATAATATAATACAATATAGGAGCACGTGGTGAATGTACCGTATTAGCACGGCTTGTATACACGAGTAGCGCTCGTGATCGAGTATAAGATCGTGCTATATCAACAGTATATATTAGAACGTTCTTAACATATCAGTAGAAGCAGGTAGAATGTAGTAGTATGCTAACTTATCACGATTAACTACATTTATCGTCAACAAACGAACAAAAGAGATGATCGGGGAAACCAGTAGAGCAGAATTTAAACTATATCTATTGCAACAATCAATAAGATATTTATAGGTGACGCATAGTGCAATGTCTGTTGTCAGTGTCTGCTACATTATTTTAATCTGCATCTTTATTAAACTGCCTAGGCATTTCAATTTCATTGATATATGGCTAGTCCGTTCTCTTGGTATCAATAAGATTTTTCTGTCATAGTGTCATTTGCATTTCACTACAATGGCATTCAGGGAAGCAGTCAAGTTTCCAGTTTATACCACAAACGTTAATGACAACTCGCTTACTTTACTTGAAGCATTATAGGGTTTTGTATTGTAACAGATACATTATATTATAAGTAAATTTACTGAATATTAATACAGAATTCTCTTGGCAGGTACAATGCTGAAGTGTGGCGAGGACATCGTCGTGGCAAAGGGCGAGAGAAAAACTCTTAAATTTTGGAGCGCAGAAGACGATTTGCTGAAAGTCCAAGTGGTGCCTTCGACAGAAATCCACGCGCGTCGACCACCCGGCAGCGCTGTTACGTACTCCAAGATACCTGGACTATCAGAAGCCATCCTTGCGCACTCCCAAAACCGCGTCAGTCAGCATGGTGGGCTTCACTACGCAGGAAATCCTGACATGGAAGGGGATTACGTGTATGAAAATGAAACAGAGTTATATTATGATGACGATGACGTTTTGACGGATAACGTGAAGGATGTCGTTGAATCTACGAAAAACGTAGATATTGAGAGACCGGGATCTGGTGGCGTCATCACCACAGTGAAAAAACAGGATTTCGTAGAAACGACCACTTTGTATTCGACGCCCGAGGAAAAATTACCTGTATCAACCGAAAGTGCATCAACACTTGCATACACAACCCAAAGTTTCAAATTGGTGACGTTTATTCCTAATTTAGGAAGTAACAACTACGAAGATGTGTCGACTGAGAACAAATCAGTCGTTAACGAAAATCAACGGAAACCAGACGACGTTCAAATAAGCGTTGGAGAAGGAACTGAAAACTTCACCCACAAGCATGAAGCTGATTTATATGGCCAAACCCTGATATCTGAAACGAGACAATCAGGCAGCTTGAACAAAACGATTGCAGTTGTGACTGAAGATATCAAGCTTTTAGAAAGCCATGGCTCGAATCTCGAAGCAATTTCTTCTAGCACGCAAAAACCTGTGACTGAGAAGACTGTGCCTTCGTCCACTGATCCGTTGTTGGAAATTTTGAATGGCCATCATAAGGCAACACAAAACCGCACACATAACCTTGATACGATAAAGTCAAGTGACGTTAACAACATTTCGGATAGAAATAACCTAGTAAATACTGTCAGCGAAAATATTGACAATGAAAAAGCAAATAAATTTTCAACGAATGGAGGGGAAAGTCATATTTTCCAGGAAACTCTTCCAGTTGCTGCCACTGATGATGGTCAGATTGGAGAAAAATATGACGAAGCACAAGATGTGGCAACAACTGAAAATATTTTACCCATTTCCCATTTGGGGGAAGACGCAGATAAAATTTCGGAAAACACGTTCAAGAGCGGAACAATTATACATGATGACGACGAAACCAATGTGAGAGCGGACTCCGGCGACCATTTTAGCAATATTTTACCAAGTGATGGTCAACTTTTTAAAGGAAGCACTGCAGGCTCAGCTGATGTATTGCAAAATGCAAATGAAGACTTATTACGGATATCCAGTCAGGAAAATGAAACAATTCGACAATCAGTGGACAAAGTTACTTTGCACGATTCTGTGTCTAATACTGAACATGTACCCGATACTGGAGACTTGACTTTGATAAACGAAACTGTCGAGGCTGAAGGAAGACCGGGTATAACTATTTCAAAAACCGATTCCAGTGCTATTAATATAGGTTATGAAGAAGCCACTGTAGAAAAAGCAGATCTACCAACGGACAATACATTTTATTCTGGGTTTGAATCTTTCTTTCAATCTGAAGATGGTATTTCTACTGAGAAACCCAATGTGGCTAAACAAGAATTATCTGAAAACCCAGTTTCTGCTGATTCTAAAGGATCTCCTGCAAATGACACTACTGATTTGGATGAATTACTACAAGAAACGTTTTCAGATTTGCTAAATTTCATGAACGTCGAAAATGTGTCAGAAGTGGTTAGTGGAAAGGAAGAAATAGGTAAACCTATAAGCAGCCAGGCACCCAACGACACTGATTCAATCGATGACATGGAGAAACTGATGAGTGCGTTAACTGATGTGCATGACGTATCTGCTGAAGTTGGTATTCCAGACAGACATAACGTAGTCTATCATAATGTTAAGCTTGTGAACATGGCAGGACATCAGAACAACTTGGACACTGAATCAGGTCCGAAAGATGAGTACTTACTTAGACAAGAAGACATTCTTCTTCCGGAAAATCCTGTAGTTGCTGATGAAAGTTACCATACCAATAGCAACACAGTCGAAAGTACCACGAATGTCATTGTAGAACGGGTGAGTGTAAAAGAACACGACACGCAGAATAGTGAACATGTAAGAGACAACGAAGTTACAACTTCTGTTCTTAATTTAGGAGTTACAGAAGTATATGAAAAAAGTGGCGATGCCGACGCATCAACAATATTTCTGGGAGCTGTACTAACCACCGAAGCAAACATGATGAACGAAGCAACTACAAGCCCGTCGATCGATGTCACTTCATTAAATATTAAAGGAGATGCCGAGCACGACAAAGGCAGCGATGAACATTATGCAGCGACTACAATGAAAGTAGAAGAGTCAAGTCGTGTTGAAGATTCGGCAGGAGCAAGCGAACGAGATGAAGGCCTTGCAAATATAAATACTGAAAGTCCAACTACGTTGAGAAGTCAGTCGAGTTCAGTAGAAGTCACCAGCCAGTCTCCAGATGATTTTAAGGGATACGAATACTATGAAAGCCTCTACGATTCCTTAATGCCACAGCCTGAGATGAAAGGGGGCAGCTTAGGAATAGACGAGCTCATTGCCCAATCTGAGAATAATAAAAATACGAAAGATACTTTTGCGGTAGAAGATTTCGATACGGATGTGCCACCAGAAATAGATTATGATGCGACCAAAGCCAGTATTCCTAAAACATCGGTGGATAACGATTCTCGTCCGCTTGATGTCAAAGAAATTGAACAAGCTAGAATACCTGCGCCAGATATCGATTATTATGAGACCAAAGCCAGTATTCCTAAAACATCATTGGATAACGATTCTCGTCCGCTTGATGTCAAAGAAATTGTACAAGCTAGAATACCTGAGCCGGATTTTGATTATGATGCGACCAAAGCCAGTATTCCTACAACATCGGTGGATAGCGGTTCTCGTCCTCTTGATGTCAAAGAAATTGAACAAGCTAGAATACCTGCGCCAGACATTGATTATGATGCGACAAAAGCCAGTATTCCTACAAAATCGGTGGATAACGGTTCTCGTCCTCTTGATGTCAAAGAAATTGAACAAGCTAGAATACCTGCGCCAGACATTGATTATGATGCGACAAAAGCTAGTATTCCTAAAGCATCCGTGGACACTGGAATTCACCCGATCAACGTTAAAGATATCGAGCAAGCTAGACTTCCGCCCCCAGTTTACTCAGCAATAAACGATGATGGTAATAGTGCATCTTTCTCCGAAGATGGAGAAAATACACAACTAATTAATTCAAAGGTCCAGAGCGCTGATGATGAGTTAATAAACTCCTCGAACGATCCGCAAGCAACAGAAGCACCGGACGAATTGAAGGACATCTATGAAATGCGAGTGAAGGGGCAAAACGATAAGGTTAATTTTGATTCTGTCACTGACGTTGATCAGTCCACGGCTCTATTACCATCTCAAGAGATCCCGTCGCCAGACAATAATGGCAATGCAAAAGTACAGCACGACATTTTAAATTCTATTGCTTCAATCATTAAAAACACTCTAAGTTCTTCAGAAAGATTATCGGACGACGCAATTACTGAGAGCGCAGTCGATGTTGTAACAGAAGCATATAAAGAACAAAAGGACCAAAACAAGTCAGATGTTATTGATGCCATTGTTGATAATGACAGTGAAAACGATGTGACGGAAATAGAATCAAATGCATCGGATCTGGTAGAAATTCCGCTTGAAATTGTCAACGGTGAGATCCGAGTCTCACAATACCATGCGACTTCATCGCTCTCTGTGCCGCTGAGTGCGTTAGAGTCCACGGAAACCTTTGATTTCTACTTGAAAAATAATTTGCAGTCAGGAAACCACGTCCTAATCCTAGAGAATGGCCAACAAATCCCAGTGAAGAGTCTAAATGAGTTGATTAATGCTATGAATTTAGCCTCAAGAAACAATGGAAGTTTAATTATTAATGAAGAGGAGGATAATTCTTCGCATAGCTATGATGATTTTTCGACTGCAGGAGGTCTTAATTCTAGTGAACTCGTGAAGTCAGGGGAAAAACAAGAAATTTACGAGAGTTATGACTTGAATGCTGAAATTACCTCAACTACAGAGCCATCGCTCGACCTCACTACAAACATTGCATCGTTGGGAAATGTTGTCTCGTCGAAAGACGTAACATCAGCTAATGATATCAATGAAACTGATATGAATGTTTACGCCACCGAGAAATCTACAGAAATTGAAATATCAGCAAATGAAACAAGATCTACTCTAGTTATAAGCGATGAAACGAAGAACGTGAACGTCAGTGAAGACTCGCTTCTGGAGGCCGCGGAAGCGAGAATTGGAGATACTGAATTGAGCAAAAAAAATTTTGCACCCGGGAGTGGAGACGGAAAAATAGACGCGCATGCCTCTACTTCAGATGTGGATCCAAATTTTGCCTCCGACAGAAATGTACATCAAGGATTAGATTTGTCTAAGCACGTTTCAGGAAGTAAAAGTAAGAATGTCATAAATATTCTAGAAGACATGATCCACAACGACCATCAACTCCGTGATATTATGACCAAGAAGGAACAAGTAACGGTTAGGATTATTAATGAATCTAATTCAGACAATTTTTACAATGAACAGATAAATGATATTTATAGAACTGAGAGCAGCACTACCGAATTTTCAACTGAGAAACCAGAGAGCTTACATTATTCAAACGATTTCGATCTCTCGTCTCTAAGGATAAGTGAAAATCCCTACGCGTATTCTTCCGAAAAAAGCAAACTTGAATCACTGCAACGGAAGCCTGCTCGTAAAGACGATTCTGGTTTTGAGTTTGGCGGAGACGCGCCTTTTTTGATGCGATTGCCTGGAAGCCCTAATCCTGGGTTGGTTTACATCCAATACGAGCCAGTACAAGTTAAATATGTTGCAGTTGATGGATCTGAAGCAAGCACGGAAATGGTGCCTAATGATAAACCAGCTAAAAACCAATTTTCCAAACGTACAGGCGTTCAACACGAAATCAATGCCATCGAAACTGATGTGCTGCTGAACGACTCGACCGTTAAACCCCAAACTGTCGATCCCAAAATCATTAAAAATAAAAATGAAACAGTTAGTGAATCGAATAAAGCAAACGGGATATATCAGATGATAAGAAACGGCTCCCCTCAGTATGAAAGCGAAGAAATCACTAACCAGGACCTTAAAGCTAACAAGGAGGATACACACGCTCACATTGATATCCCGCTCAGTTTTATTTTTCAGGAGAAAATTGTGAAAGAGAATCCAGATCCTTTCATTGTAATGCCTCCACCTGACCTAACCAGCCAGGAACTCCTCAATCCGGAAGATCCGGCTCAAAGCATGTACTCACATGTTATTGAACCTCATTATGACCATCACCCTGATGATATTGATGCAACACTTTCGGTTAGCGGCCCATCTTCGACAAAAGTTGTGAGCGGTGGAGAGGTTGATGTCAGTAATCTGGAAGATGAGATATTGGAGCCTGGGAAGTATTACAGCAGCGAACACCGCGGAACTATCTACGGCGATGTCGACTTGGAGCGTCTGAATAATCCTGTCTTCAAATTGCAAACCAAAGTGCGACGGCCTACATCAGATGAATTGATGAATCCGTCGTTCACTCCTTTCCCTATCACAACCAATCCTCCTCGGGATGTCTCCAGTACCACACCATATTTGATTTCCAAAAAATATCTTGAAATCGTTGACGAAAATATTGAAGGTTCTCAGGAGAGTAACGTGCCAGATCACACACTTGAACACAACACTTCGGCATTAGAGCTTAAAGAACCTTCTGTGACTGCCATGCTCACGTCAAACGATGAAAATCATCTTAATGATATATATACCGATGACGATAGAACTGGTGCAAATGCAAATGATGTTCCTTTCAAAGAAACTGAGAGTGCGGCATATTCACCACCACCTGCCGTTGATTTTAGATTGACGTACAATCCAAGTGATATTCCTAAGTTCATGCGTGAGAACCCGAACGCTTTCCCTTCTTGGTATCCGCAAAATAATAACAACAATTTCAGAGCTGAAGCTCTGACATCCGAGAACTCCACGCTTATCGGGTCGAACAATGATGCAACTTCTGAGATTACAGGGAGAGACTTTGAAGATTTCGAGAGCGAAAAATCGGACATGCAAGAATCTGCGAGAAATGTTGGGAGATTATTTTCTGCAGAGGTGAGTAATATCTGTTCTACATTTAAGCACTTTTCCCAATACATTTGTCTTAGTTACACTTAGATAGAGATAGTGATGAAGGGGCCAGTTAAGTAAATGTTTGGTTCAATATTGGTCGAACCATCGCGCATTACTGCAATATTTCCGCTTTCGTCGTAGGAACTATAGGCTATGACGTCGTTATTCGTCGTTATTTGCCTATTTCCTTTGATGATTGTTACCGGAATTTTGGTCCAACAGTGGTCGAGCAAGGACAATAATCGCTACGGAGCCTTCTACCATCCCGCCGACATTCCGGGTATCATGATGGCTGATCTTACTCGCAGACACGTGAGTGAAACTTGTGCTATAGCCTGCGTATCTAATGGCAAAACAATAAGTTCAGTATTTGCTTATAAAAGATGTATTCATGATATTGCAAATTTATTATAAGCTGCTACTGATATTAAGACAAGTAATTAATTATACAGCCTTCATTTATTTCGACAATTTATTCGAAAATTATGCGTTGAAACGATCTGCATGTAGTCTTTCATTGAAGTTGAATGCGTGCAAGTGAAAACAATTTATATTTTTCATGTGCCACTTTGCATTTTCACTGGCACTGCACTGATGCTCATTTTTCCTCGCAGTATTTTATTTATACGCTATACTCTGTTATTATAAATTTTGCCATCAATCATGACCCCACATTATACCTTGTCTCCGTAGTAGTGAGTTGACTTTGTTTCAGTTATCCCAGTCTGGGGACCCCGCGCCCGCTGCAGCGCTGCCCTGGTACAAGACTCACGCCGCTAACGCTGCCTCGGAGACCCAGGACGACGCTAGCTACGTCAACGACCCTTCAGCGCCGCTTATTTTTGGACCCAAATTCTTCAAGTTAGTGAATAATGAAGCAGTTTATTGGGTCGCACCGTTTATTTTTGGACCCAAATTCTCAAAGTTAGTGAATAATGAAGCTGGTTATTGGGTCGCGCCGCTTAGTTTTGGACCCAAATTCTTCAAGTTTGTGAATAATGAAGCTGGTTATTGGGCCGCACCGCTCTTTTTGGACCCAAATTCTTCAAGTTAGTGAATAATGAAGCTGGTTATTGGGCCGCACCGGTTATTTTTGGTCGCTAGCTGCTTGGTATGCGTGTCATGAAGCCGGTTATTGTATCGCTGCTTATTTTTTACTCTAAGTCTCCAAGTTAATGAGTTGTGAACCTGGTTAATCATTCACTATTTTAATTTTAGGGCACAACCTTTGCAAATTGACGACTTATGAAATCGCTTATTATCATCGAAGCACAGTTCTCTTTAAGATTGAGAGAGGAAAATTAAATATAAAATTTTTCTACCTAATAAATGCGAATTATAATCGCAAGAGAATGGATTTAAAACAAAATGGATGAACTGTGTACATAGAAAAAGTGTGGCGACAAATGGCTTACTGTGATTAATGTAGGTTGAGCACAAATAAAGTTTTTGCTAAAAAGATTATCGGTTGAGGACTTCACGGAACCCTGGACAATAAATAAAAATACAATCATCATTCTATAATAAAAGTTTTTACATGTTTGCGACATAACACTACTAATGCCTTAAAAATCTTAAACAGGTACTTGAACAGCCTGCCAGCTCCTCTGCTACGAGACTTCCTCGAGCCATCAGCGTCAGAGCGCGCGGTGCGCATGCGCAGAGCTGCGCCCGAGCCTGGCGCGCAGATTTACTGCGAGTGGAACGTCAAGGTGACTTATTCTCTTGCTGTTGTATGCGCTTACATGACGCAAAATTAATTAGTGTTGAAAACTGTGAATCTTACTTTTTGCGTTCGTTTTCAATGTGGTGCTACTTTGAGATCGATGCATTCCGATTTCATAAATTTATGATAGATTAGAATAGAATAGAAGTCTCGGCACTGAAGAAATAGGCCCATGGCCTGTTGCCCATTCTTGTACTTTTCGTGACTTGGTTCACAAGGGATCCGGCCTTTGGAACCTGATCTTTCCGTAACTGACGATTGATTGAGATAGCTGCTAAACTGAAAATATGTTCCTGCATAGCTTCGTCTAGTCTGTTCTTAAAGGTCTTGATGTGTCGTTAACATTTTACAAGTTTACTGACTTGCCGAAACTGAAGTTTGACTTGCCGTTTATTTTACAAGTTGGCAAGTCAAATTAATGGAGCATTGCTTTTTTTCTAATGGAGAAGTACACTGAAGACATGAATTTGTTGTTGCTGTCTCTGATTACGCACCTCTATTGAGCAGACGGAACCGGGCCTGTTCCTGCTGATGCATTTCCAGAACTTGTCGGCGCCCTACAGCGTGGACTGCCACGGCGCCTACATCGAAGTTGAGCGCGAGAACGACGGTTACGATGCGCGCTACTGCGGCAACCGAGTCGCTCATGTAAGTCAAAAAATTAGATTAGTACTCACTGCAGTGAGTGACTGTGAGCGCATTTTCTCGTCCGTTCTTCCGTGAAGTCATGGACGGACGGACGGACGGACGGATGGACATTATGAGCACAATAGCGCCTTTTTCCATAAATGAGAAAATGGGCTAAATAAATATATATAAACTAAAAATACGAAACTAAAAAAACGTGGTAAAATGGTCGCGTGGTACTAATTTATTTTTTTTTTTATTTTGTTGAATGGTTACGTGAGTTGTAGGATAGCGTGTATAATTTATTATATAAATTGGCACTTTTCATGAATTTCGGGATCACCATCTCGTTCGGGCTTGACGTTACCGAAATATTAAGATCGTTATCCCAGATCGGGCAGAGAGTAGCAGGTTCGATACATACGGCACCGTTTTTACGTAATAAATAATAATAAACCTGTAATAATCATGCGAGAATCACTCGAACTTTTGACGAAAAAGACTCATTTGACTGCTGTGCTCGACGTGCAGATGGGCAACCGGCCACACGTGATATTCGCCAAGTCGGAGGTGCGGATCACTGTCTACGATGACGGCAACGCCGGCAAGAGCCGACCTACGGGCTTCGAGGCCGACATAGACGGTGAGGGAAGACATGTGCATTGTGAGGGGAAATTATATTGGTTCCGCGATGATAGGAAAAAATTCTATAACAAAGTTCACTATAAGATAAAGTTCACAAAGTTCACTATAAAGAAATAATCATGGCGATAGTGGGTAGTTAAATTGAGTTGCAAAAATCAAAAGTTGGAATTAAGGCACTCCTTAAATCTTTAGCTCGTTTATGCATCATGTTTTTTTTTTATTATTGAGTTGACCTCCTTTTAATAGACCCTTCGACTTTTTTACAACAAACAAATTCATGTATTATTGTGCCGAAGTTTACAGCATTTTTTGTTATTCCTATGTGTTTAGACAATTTTTTTCAAATTTTTTATTGCATTTTTTCATAAAAAAAACAAATTCCTGTATTATTATGCCGAAATTTTACCAAAATTTTTTTTTTATTTCTGTATGTTACAATGTAAAAGGTAATTGGTTGGTTGTAAACTCCCTTTGTTCTGACCAATCTATTCCGCTGTGCAGTGATCGACCTGTTCAACCCCCACGAGTACAGCACATTCATGGCCTCGAACGCCTACCCTCACATCCGCAGGCTTCTCAGCGGCTGAAATTGTTAATGCAATGATATATAAAATCTAATCTATATATTTGATTTAATCTGTTCGAAAACTCGCGAGTGATCAGAACTTCTGTGGTCGGTATAAGTCAGTGCCAATAGTAATGCATCTCTGTCTGGTATAGTGAATACATTTCGTTAGTCGCCTAAACTTTGCTTTTCTTCGTGTATTTCATTGAAACTCGAAGTTGCACCTGGACTTGGATGTAGTATCAATCCGATTTTTTGAGTGATGTTTCAATGATTTTAAATGACTAGGTGTTAGAAACTTTTTTGAGACGCTTGACCAATTCCGTTGTACGTAATTTATAGATGATGTTGATCGATTGTGATGTTAAAAGGCTATAAGAAAAATGGAGATGCAACGAAAAATTTTGCGATGAACAAAGCAGAAGTTTTAATAAATGCTGACCAAAGTTACTCGGAATTTCAAATTGCAGAGTACATCCATTGCAATTTTACGAGTGGTTTATACACATGAAAAAATCTAGATATTTCTTCTCAAACGCGCATTATAAGGAGATCTCAAATGATTTTTATTATTAAAAATATTAGAAACATACGAGGCATTATATTGAAGCACAATTGGTGATCACACAAATGAATGGTGATCAATACAGGTAATCCCTCAGTACGAACAACTATGATAAACAGAGCATTTAAAATGTGTGGGCATTGATTTTCTCCATGGCATTGATCAGCATTGAGCAAGCACGCTCAAATATTTTTCTAGAATTAGACTAGCTAATTGTCTCGACATAGCGTCAACAAAACCTAAATAAAGGTTGAATGAGTGCTGGCTTGCTTATTTTGTCGCACTGCATTGATTTTAGTAGCGTGGAGCGTGCAGGGCGTCTAGTTGCTAAGGAAATGTTCATATTTATTCATGTAAAATTTTTTAACGACGCCAGTTTTTACTATTTATATCACACTTAATCAGTTTTCATAATTAAGATATTTAGATTTCTTTTATTTGGATAATTCTACAATGAAGTAAAGTTGCGAAGTGTAGACGATGTACGAAGACAACATGTAAAATTGTTTCTCATAAAATTCATTTTTTTGGATACTTTGAACAAGTTCGTTTTAAATAATATTAAGTATGTAAATATTAACCGTAAACCTAAAATAAGGTGAGGCATTAAATAGTGTGTAAGGCTTGTATAATGTTTCAATTTGGGCATTCGTGGCCCGTAATCATGGAAATTGGTGCAGTATAGGCAACCTCATATTTCTTTATAACTAATTTCAATGGTGAAATAAATTTCTACTTTTACTAATAAACAAAAAACTTTGGCATTCTTTTCCGGGTTGTGCATTACGTCGTTGAAATTGAGGCTCTCGACAATGTATCAGTTGTGATCCAAACGAAACAATGACGGTAAATATACATATATTTACATATAAATATATTTACAAATACATATATTTACCCCGGTGTAAACTATTGTGAGGGAAAATTGCATTCATTGTCTTTCAGTCTTTAAAAAAAGTTCATCTTGAATATATGTCGCAATAGGTTATGGACTTTGAATTCACGTCTAATTTCAAAAAAGTTTTATCAAACTGTCACAGGTGGTAGTGAGAAGTTACAGGATTTAGATATTCATAATTTCGGAGTTACAAGAACTTTGAGCTTCAAGTAATATTCTGTCAATATATTAAGTAAATTCGGTCAGCAAGTCAATAAATTCGAACAATTTAGAGAGAATCTAATTGTGATCTTGGTCGTGGTTATCTGCTAGTAGAAATAAGTTTATGAATCGCCTGTAAATAGGAGGAAAAAATAAATGCAAATTTGAAACTTGTTTTTATTCATTTTCATTTATGATTTCAAAAAACAGGTAGGTAACTATTTGATTAATAGTATACTCATTTATTCTACAAAATGTTTTTTTGCTCATAAGTTTTATAGTTTCAAACGCAGCCAAAACATTCCGAAAGAGAAATACTGAAAGTAAATGGCACGAGCTTGGCTCTGGAAGTCGCAACGTATACCTTTGTCCAGTTCAGAGCTTAGCTCGTGTGTGGTGCATTATTGTTGCATACGTGCCCTTCTTTGTGGAAGCTTCTATCGGGCGGTGATCGATCTTGCCCTTCCGAACACCGCTTCACGCCCCGGCTATTTAAGTCGCCCAGGCTGCACCGTCCCTCATTCGGACAAGTGTCCCCGATAGTAACAGTTTCTGTTTCTCGTTCGCACCTCGAGCCTCTCATTCAAGCTACTCGCCATGTCTCTCACCGGGCATTACACTCACTCCAGCGATGAAAATTTGGATGCAATGCTCAAGGCAGCAGGTCAGTATATCTTTTATCATCCTCTTATCTTTCTCATCCTCTTGGATGTTTGATTATTACTGGAATAAAGAGGAAAAAAGTGAGAGGATGGAATTTTAATTCTATTTCATCCCTTCACATTTGATGTTACCGATGAAATGAAGATGGTTTTTGTCGAATCATAAATTTTTATAAAATGCCGGAAAATTTCTTTCATCGGTCAAACGCGCAATATTAGAAATCAATTGAGCTTTAATCATGCTTTAATCTTTCATTCATGTGCTTCAGCTAAATCATTAGAATCATAATATTCCATCATGGCGGTTTATTATTAACAAATTGTCAATTGGGCTCGTCAGACCACCACAATTCAAATGTCAAATTAAAATTAGCCCTACTTCTAACTTAATCTTAAATTAACCCATTAAAATTAATTTTCCTTTTTGGTTTTCTGATAATGCATTCTACTAATAATTTCTGATTATGTACATGATATTTTTTCCCAGATTCTTTTATATATCCACTATCAATCAAAATTCAACATGTTGCGATTTCTTCGTTTATTGAATTAATATTGGTGGGATCCAGTGTAATTATTCCGACAGCTACACGCATCTACCAACAATGTTATTCTACCGGCTCTACGTAGATAGATAATTAAAGATAATTTTCTAAAGCAATTTACATACGAGTATCCGAAACTAATAATTTTCCTGGGATGACAAATAATTCGTTATTGGAAATTAATTTTGTGTGTATCCACAATACTTTTTCCGGAGTTCTTAATGTAACCGACATTTCTATTGCATTTTCTCATTTATGAAAAAAATGCCCGTCCGTCCGTCTGTCTGTCCGTCTGTCTGTCCATCCGTGACTTCACGTTTTCGTCGACGACAAAATGCGCTCTCTGTCACTCACTGCAGTGAGTACTGTCTACTGAGATATATTTTTGACTATTAGGCGCTTCGTGAGCCGCTAGTTAATGAGAGCTGTTACCAGTGCCACCATGACAACAAGAATGCAAGTCAAGCTGCCTCTTTGTTCCCGTTGTCAGGTGCCATCATTGATCGTGAACGTTAAACCATTGATTTGGTTCAGTGCGCCACAAACTGGACTTTTCTAGATCTTGCAAGTCTCAGAGTTACTTTTTTGGTGTTTACTTGTATACGAGTTCATTTTTGGGAACATAGGACTTGAATTGGTCTATCAAGCAACCCTTGAGTGAAATGATTTCATTATTTGCACTGTCAACGATGACTCTGTCAAATTTTTATTCAAAATTCTTCAAGTAAAAACTATTTTCAGATCATCCAGCAAAATGTTGCTGCTGGTGGATGGCTAATATATTAGCCCTCCACCAACCATCAACTGCCACAATAACAGCTATATCGTTGTTCTTGAAGGCATGAGCGACTGCATGTGTTCGAAGATGAGTTCCTCGAAGCCGTCAATGGAGATCAAGGAGACCGGTACAGGTGCGACCATCAAGTACACCTGCGGCAGCAACACCTACACCAACAACATCACCTACGGCGAAGACTCCTCTGTTGATGTTGGGGGCATGAAGTATACGGTATGTTTTTAACGTGGTTAGTAGCGTACATTGCATTTATATTATACATTTTCTAATGAGAATAACATGGCTACTGTGATTAGTAGAGTACATTGCATTTATGATGCACAGTTTCTGGTGAGAATAACATAGCCAATTTGATTAGTAGAGTATATTGCATTTATGTTACACGTACATTTTTTATTGAGAATAACAATCCCAGCTACGGTTTAAATAAATTCCGTGTTTCGTAGTGTTGGAATGGTGAGAATCTATGGTTGCGAAGATGAATATACCTACTTTTGTGGTTTTAATGTATCGTTTATTGTGGTAAAATGATACGAGTTTGATGCACATGCAACCTCTTAGGGAAGCTTAATCTTTATTACTAATTAATTATTTTGTTCATGTTATTTTTATTTAAAGGTCAATGCTTCGAAGACGCCGTATGGCTATGAGGGCACCATGACCATGGGAGACAAAACAGGTACAACTTCGGTGGAAATTGACGGTGACACCTTGACCAAGGTTAGTGATGGGTCTTAATCATGATAAGCATGAGAATTATCTATTTTTTCTTCATCAAGGCCTTTATCAATGTTTCGGAAATTGTAGCATATCATAGAGTTGTATGTCGGAGAACAGGAGCAAAGTTGCTCTGAAATGATTATAACGATCAAATATACATAAGATATTGCAAGCGAGCTTGACTTGTTTTGTTCTAAAAAGATGCGACATTTATGGTAAAATATTTCAATATCAACATAAAAATGGTAAAAGATATTCATCAATTTATGGATAATTTGATATTGAATGTAAATGAAGCGAGCACGAATCAGGTCACTAAATCTGGAATGTTTCAAGACAAAAAAATAGCGTAATTAAAAGCGAAATTTTTGGAATAATAAGATTTTAACCATTATTGTTCGTCAGACCATGACTCTGGAAGGTGTCACTGCGAAGCGTATTTTCACGAAGCAGTAACGCGTCTGTCCTGCTGCCTGCGCGTCACTTCTGCACCTGAACTTTTGCTCATGCAACTCTCTCAACTTTGGACACCGGCGACTGTCATCTCTTCAATAGCACAAAATGCTCGTCAATGATACTGTCAAAATTAATTTGTTTTCATTTCCCAAACGAAGAAACGTAATGCAATGGCTGACGATATCGGAATTGCTTGAAAAAGTTTACGAATCGAAAATTAAATAATCAAAATAACATAGCAACTTGGTCACATCAACTCAACGGTTGAGGACCAGATACCGTTGTTAAGCTGGAATCAACAATCTTATTATTAGATTTATGATTTAATCTTTATTGGTGTCATAAACGAAATGGAAATGCATGATAAGCAATTTTGGCCGAAGAGATAAAAAACTTAATTTGTAAATTAATGCGAGGTTTCAAAATTTGATTCAGTTATTTTACATGGTAAGCTTCAAAACGATAAGTTTTAGAAACCTAACGAGACGTACTTAACATTGCGCTACGATGAGCGATGTCAGGATTTTTCAGGGTTCAGGTAGTCAAGAATTGTCAGGTGACGGACAAGTTTCGTTCAAATCTGTTCAGTAGTTTAAAGGGAATTTCTTTGTTACTGCAAATTTCGGCCCGAATTGCCGTATAATTCACGAATGAAGGTGAAATAAAAAAAACTAACGAGCTAAACATCATCGTTGGGTCCTAATGAATACGTGTACCAAATTTCATAGAGCTACGTTCATTAGTTTGGGAGATATTCCTTGGTCACTGAATTTGGAGATTGGCCGTGAGACCGGTTGCGAGACCGGCCGCGAATCCGGCCGTAAATTTGTCCGAGACCTAGAATTGTATATACTATACAACGGAGTACTGCCTGTCTGCGCTACGTACGTTCAACAATTAAGTAGGACTGCGAGAACCTTGCAAGTTTATCGCACTTACGGGGTTTAAAGCCAGTAATTACGAAAAACAGGTGTATTGTTATAGCACGCAAATGAAGCTGTACAACGTGTCACAATGCAGCAAAATTGTACAATACTTGCCTGCGCGGTCCTGCAAGCTACTCGTGCAACTTGGTACATAACATTTATGAAGCGTTCATACAAAGCCCAACTGTATGAAGTTGGAGGGTACATGCGTAACATGGTATGATATTTGCATATATTATACGTACGCGCTACATCAAGGCAGGGTGGCCCATTGGTTGAAGTTCAGAGTACCAAGATTGGAGCAGAGAGGCGCGGGTTCGATCCCAGCTCTGTGCGCCAGTTTCTGGTCAGAATCGGCAAGGAGGCCGGGCGATTAAGCACAGCAGAATTGTAGCAGTGAGTTGCGAGTTCGAGACCGCGAAATGCTGTGAATGTTCTGTGATGTTAAGAATCGGCGACAGGCCTACGGCCTAATAAACGCTGAAACCGCTATATCAAAGCTGCTCGAGCTAGAAAATTTCCGTTCGAAAGTGTCGAAGCGATCGGTTAACACGATAAGTAAAATTTATCAATGAATATATTATTTAAAAAGTAATAATTAAATTAATGAAAAAATTATTTGATTTGACAATAATCTGTGTAACAAGATTGCTGCATGATAGCGCTAGTAAAAATTCCGCCCCAAATGTGTCGTGGGCGATGTTTTAGTTTTTCAGCGACCCGATTCGTTTTATTGCTTACAATGCCCCAGTTCAAGCCTTTAGAATTCAATTTATGATCATAGAACACAATCCCTCCGGTAAGATTGCAAGTAGACGAACGCATATATAAGGGAAGAAGTATACTACATGGGATGCGTTAGGGTAGAAATAACTTGGTACAATCAAGACGGACCCTGTTGAAAATATGTTAGTCACCATCCTAAAAAAAAATTTTACAATCACAGAAAACTTTCCGACCCATACTTCTGATTTTTCCATGGATGTACTTGCTTCCGAAATATGGAGTCAATATGTTTTAAATAATAATAATAATTTTGATTTTCTCTGAATTTGAGCTGACTTAAATTTGATCTGCATTTTCTATACAAAATTAAGATATAGACGCAGCGTATCGTGTTCAATCGACGAGCAAAATTTTCTGTTTAAAAAAACATTTATAACTGAGATCTTGAAGTTTGTTGCCAGGATAGCGTGACACAATACTGTCATTCGGTGTAATCAAAGTCGTTGACGATAATGAGCTCAGTTCCCCCTCAACCCAAACATTTTCAATAACCTGAGCCTTCCATGGACAGAGGAGACTACGACACCGATCACGACGTTGACTCTTAACCTCATCGGTCTGGAGACTGGACTTCCACGAGCAAGCGTATAAATCTTGGATTATAATCTGGTGGAGTTTTTGTCACCACAAGTCTTCAAACAAATTATAAAAAAATCGGTAAGCTATAGGTACAGGTTCAATACCTACAACTTAAGTTAGTTGTAAAACAGGGGTTTGAAGCTCATAACTATATTTATAACAGCTTAAGTATATTTTTGTTTTTAAGTTGAATGAGAAATCAAGGCAGGGGTAAAGAAAAACATACAAACATAATGTAATAATAATATTCGCATAATGATGCGCCTATGTAATGACATCTCTGATGATTTGATCGAGTACAAAATATTTTATTATTATTATTCATATAGATAAAACAGAGTTAGAGTAAAACATGCGAATATTTACCAAAAACAGTTCCTAATCACTATTCGAAAACAATTTGATGTGGGCCTTCTCATGTGTTTGTGGGGGCCTTCTCGCAATACCAACGAGACGCCATGTTGAGTTCTTTCAATTCAGGGCTGACAAATTAAACAATGAATTTGAACAGTTTTTACCGAGCTGACCATTATTTTGTCTCATATGTAAAATATACAATAATTATTGGACGAAATTTAATGCAATAATATGGCCCTGAAAACAACGCCGTGAGTCTGAGGCGAATAAAATGTTCTGGAATATGTGAAGCTAGTAAAAAAATTACTGTGCAGTAATAAAAATGAGCAAAATCTATCAATAATCATGAACTACCTGGCAGAATTTGTCCATGTATTAAAGTTTGATTGGAATTCGGAGGATTTAAAAAAATTCTTTGCGTTTTTCCATGGCTTTCGTAGGTTTCAGAGAGATATTTCAACACAAGGATAACGTTTTAAATTATAATAACATCAAAATTGAGTTATAAAAACATTTAAAACGTGAAAATTCGCTCATATTTCCGCACCGTGAAATTCGGAGTGAAAGAATCGAAAGGAAAATTGCCAACCTAAAGGCAATTAACTGTGGACAACGAATTAATGAAAGCTGCTGCTGTTCACACTGATGTCAAAGATAAAAAAATCGATCAGTACTCACTGTAGTGAGTGACAGAGATCGCATTTTCTCTGTCACGTGAAATCACGGACGGACGGACGGACATGCTCACGGACGGACGGACATTACGAGCGCAATAGCGCCGTTTTCTGTAAATGAGAAAATGCGCTAAAAAGAAGGAAGCACAAGTGGAATTCACTGCATCATTTTCGAAATCAGGAGAACCAGATGACCTCCAGCAAAAACACTCACACATGTTATCCACGTCATCAAAACACGTGATCGATTTCCTTCTTATAATAAATTCTATGCTTTTCAAAAGCAAAAAAAAAAAAAATAGTGAAATTTTGTTGCCCTTTTGCAGACATCGGTCAAAAGGGACCGCTTGGTCGACTGACATAAGTGCGTTTAGTATTATAGTTTCTTAATTACAAAACTAATGTAATAGTTAATTATCTTATGCAACATTGATTACTATTTCACTTTGTCATTATAAGACCGTTGTTGCCTCCACTATAGCTTCATCCGAATATCCATTATAAAGAAGTCGATCTTTTGCTGGGCCTTCAAAAATCTGAAAGCCATTCTGTATAATTTTTTTTTGAAATAGCTGAAAAATACGGTTTTTATGTTTACAGTTTTTTCACTTTTTTTGCTGCCAAATTTACTCATTGTTAATACAGGGTGCGGCGCGGGAACTTACTTATTTGAATTGCGCGCCACGTGGCGGCCATTAGTCCTAGGAAGGTGGCGCCATGCGCAATATGGTGCGCGGGCTATGAAGTTTTTCGTCCACTCAGTTCAGTTGCGACCATGCAGTGGTCGAGAATCTCGTCTGACAAAATGTATTGAACAGCATGGAGGTCACCTACAAGATGTAATATTCAAGAATTAAACTTGTAAGTAAACCCAACGAAACTTTAAATGTAGCTCTTTGTAAAAAAGAAAGAATTAAAACGCTATCTTTAATACTTTTTACTTTGTGATTTTTTTAAAAGAGTAAGTTCCCACGCCGCACCCTGTAGCAAGACAGAACATTATTTTAACGATATAGGTAATTTAATTTTCTGTCTGGGAAAATTTTTTCATAAAAATGTTGTATAAAAATGGATACGAAGCGCAGCAGCAGCACAGTGCAGGTCCCTTAAATATAACTTTGTACTAATTAATGATAAAGACGTTCAACAGTAGATACCAAATGGTAAAAAGGTTTTCGCCCGCTGAAAATTGTCGAACAAAACATAATCCTTGTCCGTAGAAAGTCAAAACGTATGTAAAGCTCCTGAAAACATTACCTTCGACGAAAAAGATACATTCAAGCCCGGTTATCCAAGTTACTCTATAGGCCCACTACTATACATGCAAATGACCTACAAGCGCAATGCGAATACTGAAGCAAGTGCGGTACAGGAGAAGTCAGCGTTTCTTGACGCCTTTTGGGCGAGTCGAGGATAACTTTCTTGTGATTCTAAAGTCGTTCTAAGGACCAACTGCCTTACAGATGCCATCGAGAAACTCCATACGGCGTCTCCCAGGGATCATGTCGGTCGTCGATGGAGCTTGATGACATCTCTAGGAGTCTGCCTCTCAAAACCTCTATCGATTATGGGTCTAAGATGACCTAACGAGAAATAAATCGATTGCTTACGCTCGATCCGTAGATGCTACGCACTTGAAGTTTATAATTTATGTAATATATGTTTCTACTTACAATTTTGTTGAATTATGTCTTGTGCAAACGGAAAATAATGAAGTTCCACCGTTTAACGAATAATTCTGCCATTCTACATATTTTATTCCAGCTAGGTGTCAACTGTTTCTAAATTAATGTTTAATTCGTCAGCATTTCT